TGCCACAGTCTCATTGCATATATCAGTACAGAGATGAAAGTGTCCCTTTTAAACATTGCCCCGAGAAGAATTACGCATGCGCAGGCATTAGCGGCGGGCTATTTAATCTCGGGATGAAACCCGAGGCCTGAAAGCGTCAATTTATCAGCTCCAATCGACCTTGAAACTCAGTTTTAGGCGACAAATGACGTAGGAAAGAATTCAGAATGTTTCCGTCAACGAATGGCCTTGGGGAATCTTATATATTCGAATCAGCAAACGTAGTTAGTTCAGCAAAAATCTATGAGGTCTGACTGGGAAAATTCAAATTCGCGAATGGAAATCAGGAGGAAGCGCTTTTGACCACTTATCATCCTTCCGAATCGCTTTCACGTGATTTTTTCCCATGGCGGGAGACAAGGAAATGGCGATATGCGCTCGGACGTAAGCTGAATCAAGAAAAGCCGATCATGGAAATGATTTCCTCGGCATTGACTCACGCTACAGGATCCAACTTGCTGTCCAAGTTAATATTCTCTCAAAGCTGGATGTTACCAAACAGTAATTTCTCAGCCTTTTATCAACAATGTATATAGATATCTAGAATAGTAAACTTTGAAAACGGTCAACAGTAGCAATAGCTAAAATGGATATCACATTTAACTCAAAGAGAAAATAATATCATAAATAAGACGATGACATTCCAGATTTCTTCAATTTTTTTAATCATTTAACCACAAAAAGGCAATAAAGCCACTAAGACGCAGGTGGTTACTTAATGTTAGAGAATATGAGAAAAATGTACTATTGAGAAGACAATAAGAGAACAACAATTAAGAAGGTTAAAGATAACGATTGACAGTACATTTAAATTTTTGGAGAGCAAAGTTGACAGAGAAAAAAATAGCGAGAAGTTCGAGAGAAGAAACTGTTAACATAGAACTTACGGTTCCATCTAGCCATTTCAACTGTAAAATGATGAGACCTTGCCGTCAACCAAGTATAGCTCTAAAATTCATAAAGTCTGGGTGTCATGGATCAGAACTATTAATATGAAAGGCACAGAAAGTTTTATTACGGCGGTGGGAAGTGAAGCCGAGATACCAGGTCAGGACCAATAACATTGCAGGTTCCTCTTTGGAATTTATCAAAGGAGCTCTAAATAAATCGCAGGAGCACCAGAGCAGAAGTAAGGACGAATGCTAGTCTTGAAAGTATGTAAGATAGATTCTGGAAAAATTAGGCAGAACTGCCCACCCCCCATCAATCCTGGAAAGAACGATAACATCTACCGGACTTGAGATACTTATTTTGCTGAAATTTGTTTTAAGAGAAAGAATTTATGAAATTCAATCAATAGTGGCGCTGACTGCTCGCTTAATAAATGCCGAATATTTCCTTATCAGGAAACGGCTAATATTATCTTGACCATTATTATCTCTATTTTATCCTGAGAACCGTTTCTAACCTAGACAACGTGATAATAATTTTACATTCATCATTAATAACATTAGTGTGTTACTAATTATTAGTATCTCTATCTATAAAAGGCAGGATGTGAGTGTGTGTGTGTAACGAATGCACGGCCGCAATTTTCGACGGATTTTGCACCAAAATTTACATGCACATACTCCAAGTTAGCGCGAAAGCCAAGACCGACTTTGCATTTCCCAACTTTCATCGATAGTGGAAATAATCGATTATTTCATGCTTCTACAGCACTTTTCATGTAGTTTGCGGCCATTTTCTACTGGCCAGAGTGAGAGCCAATGGCTGTCTGCCACGAATAGGCAGGAAGATTCTATTGGCCAACGTGAGAGCCAGCAGCTGAATAACACGAATGTTAACAAGTCTGCTAGCATGCAAAAAAAAAAAAAAAAAAAAAATATATCGATAGCTGCATTCGTCACAAGTGGGAAAAATTTTAATCTGCATGGCACTTTACTCCAATTGGCTCATTCGCTTGCTTAAACTCAACGTTGATTCTGATTCCGCAGAACTGGGTTGGATGTGAAAAAGTATTTGTTGTTAACACTCTTTTTTCATTCGGTTTTTCCAGTTACGAGTCCTTTTTTTAAAGGTGATCGTTTTGTGTTCATTTTGTTTAGTTCTTTTTTCGTAACAGATTTAATGTTTAGTATAGAGCTTAGGAAAAATTTGCAGTGTGAGATAGGCAAGAAGTAAGGCATGTAGCAACATCAGCACGGCAAAGGG